GTCATGTGAATACACTTAAGAGTGACTTCGATGGATGAATCTTAAGTAGAATCATTGACAATGCAATTCACATGTTGAAGAAACACCAACAGCAACAACAAAAGGAAGAACAAAATTAAAAAATATGATACAGTACTGTTATGGCTTACCCGATGATATATGGTCATGACAATGTCGCAAAACGTTTTAAGCGAAAATATTGAAAGGTCAAAGGTGTTTGTATGTTCTTTGAACCTAAAGGTAGCAATTTTGAAACTCTGAAACTTAATTACCAAATGACAAACGAGTTTAATATACTTGGAACAAACGACTTGTAAGTTACCTAAACATCGTCAGAAAGGAATTTTGCTGATATAATTTAGACATACAGAAAAAATTCAAAGACATTTTGTAAAATTTTGTAATTTTACACTGATATTTTTTGGTTCTTTCTATTTTTAAAGCAATATACTGTTAGAGTATATATACTTTTCTCCAAAAGAATTCTCACACTAAACACTTTCATATCACGATAATTCACAAATGTATCCAAATGCACTTAACAAGATAACATTTCGACATAATTCACGAATGTACATAAGATTACTTAATCATATACCCTTAACGTCAAATTTTATGAAAGTATTCAATAACGCTTAACACAGTGCCCTTTCATGAAAGCATCCAGATGCACCTAAAACAAAACTCTTTCGACATAATTCATGAAAGTGCTCAAGTGAACTTAACACGATACTCTTTCAACATAATTCACGAAAGTACTCAAGTGAATTTAACACGATACCCTTTCGATATAATTCATGAAAGTGTTCAAGTGAACTTAACACCAACCTCTTTCGACATAATTCATGAAAGTGCTCAAGTGAACTTAACACGATACCCTTTCGACATAATTCATGAAAGTGCTCAAGTGAACTTAACACGATACCCTTTCGACATAATTCATGAAAGTGCTCAAATGAACTTAACACGATACTCTTTCGACATAATTCATGAAAGTGTTCAAGTGAACTTAACACGATACCCTTTCGACATAATTCATGAAAGTGCTCAAATGAACTTAACACGATACTCTTTCGACATAATTCATGAAAGTGTTCAAGTGAACTTAACACGATACCCTTTCGACATAATTCACGAAAGTGCTCAAGTGAACTTAAAACGATACCCTTTCGACATAATTCACGAAAGTGCTCAAGTGAACTTAACACGATACTCATGCACTTGTACAGTTGTACGGTTATTTAAAAATTTCACTGCAGTAAAACTCCTTTTCAAATTCGCTTAGATGGCAGGATGATAGAAAATATTGGCAGATGTCTCAAAATTTAAACCCAAGAAAACCTCTACCCCATTGCATAATCGTCCAGTCAGTTGCGATATTTTACATTGTTTATAAATAAAGTATATAATGGTTTTCACTATATTTCTTTATTGAAAAACAAAAAAAAAAAAAAAAAAAGAAAAACAACAAAAACCAAAAACATAAACGATTGCGATACATAAGCATTCCTGTCCCGCTGGATAATACAATCTGTGTACATACAGCAGCATTTCTGTCCCGCTGGATACTACAATTTGTGTACATACAGCAGCATTCCTGTCCGACTGGATAATACAATTTGTGTACATACAGCAGCATTCCTGTCCGACTTGATAATACAATTTGTGTACATACAGCAGCATTCCTGTCCGACTTGATAATACAATTTGTGTACATACAGCAGCATTCCTGTCCGGCTGGATAATACAATTTGTGTACATACAGCAGTATTCCTGTCCGGCTAGATAATACAATTTGTGTACATACAGCAGCATTCCTGTTCATGTTTTGTATGTTATAAATAAGGTTGTTTACGAGCTTTGAATGTTCTAGAACAGCTGTGTATACAATTTGATTTGATTTTCGATGACTCACACGTAGGTTACATGAAGGTGTGTATTAATAGGGATTCATTAGATAAATAATTAATTCCTGATTTAGTTCAGTCTTTTGGGAGTCTTTTTTATCGGAATTTATATTTGCTTTCAGATAAAATTTAAGAGGAATTATTTATATAAAATTAGTAACTGGAATTGATATGTACTTATTGTCTTTGGACTATCACACTATTTTTGGAATTATTGTGAACTCATTCAAAGACATCATTGTGTTACATGAAGAGATGCCATCAAAGAAATGCTAGAAAACAAACTCCCATTAACAACAAATAAGATATCAAGTATTTGCTTATCTAAATTAATTGTCCACTTGAATCATACAAACTGTCATTGACAAAGCTTGTGTGATCTGTTTATATTCACTTTTCAGCGTCATACATACGTCTTACGTTTTTAAAGTGAAGTTGTTCGCAATTGAAACATGCACAATGTAGAGGATATTAGTGTAAGGCCAAGCTGCGTACTCAATAACCCAAGTTACACCAAATAATCATAAACCGAACTAAAGGGAATGAAAATCTATTTGAATAGTATCTAAAATAGGCACGTTTTTTTTTCTAATAACAGCCAGCGATAAAACCCTGGAAATTAGTTTTCTTTTAAAATCAAGCTCTTTTGACGATATAAATGTTATGATATCCTTCTGAAAGGTACCAGTTGCCATGCAACAGTTAAATTAGGTAGTATGACGTCGTTTGAGAAACCCTCGTTAGATAGACCTTCTGCGTAGTTTTGACGGAACTTGCAAGAACGAGACATAATGCTAACAGTGGGTTACCTCCTTTCATAAAGACGACAAATGACAATTAGAGAAAACTGTATGACACTGTATTTATTGCATTTGCCAATTACGTAGGATTAACAAGTTACATGGGTTATGTAATCGCATTTACTCATTTTAAATTAAAAAGAAATTATTTTTTTTAAAATTTAACACCAATTTTCTTTAACCAAAGTTTATTCAGTCCTCATTATTTAATGTCACCCAGAAACTTTCAGACAAAATTTATCTATCCCTATGGACTTCTACAATGGTGGCCATCGTTATGGACTTCTACGATGGTGGCCTTCGTTATGGACTTCTACAATGGTGGCCATGTACTAAACTGGGGTCAAAATATGAGCGCATCAAGTGGAAATGCCACAATCAAAAGTGTGTGAATTTTATTAATTTGCGTAGCTTTCATTGTGACATCACAGCGAGCGACATTCAATCCGGATTGTACTGGATCACACCTTTAGATTCATTTTATTTACAAATGTATACATATTTTGACATTTTGACCTACTGGGGCGTCTAAAAAATGACCCTCCAAAGGAATACGAATCCTAATGAAGTGAATGCTTGTGACTTTAAGGTATGTAGAATCGATTTCTAAAAAATGATAGCCATTACTGAACTACTCTGTTGAGTGTCTACATGACCTGTGTGACTTGCACCATAGTATAAGACTGGTGCTATTTTAAGTTAGAAATTGCGGAAATCGCAATGTAAAGATGACGTAACCTTGTAGAGCCTCTAAACCTCAAATCGCGGCGTGGTTTGTTTTAGCTTTACTTATGTCTGGATTTTAAAAAATGATGCAAGAGACAAGGTGGGATATAGTCAACTTGCTCTTGTATTCAGTGCCGTCTTAATTAAGGCATGGACACACTGGGCAGTTGCCCAGGGCCTCACGCTTCCAGGGTCATCATGCAATCTATGTTGTTAATGAATAGTAGGGCCAGCAGGGGAAACCAGTACATGGCTTTGCTCCGAGCCTACAATGTTGCTAAGACGGCACTGCTAGTATTAAAGTACAAGATTGATGTACTAAGTTTTAGATATTCAATAGGGCAAAGAAAACCTTCTGGCGTTAGTTGTTGTTGCTTAACGCCGTTTTTCAGCACACGATAGGCTATTCATGGCGGCCAGTATTATTGGTGGAGGAAGAAACTGGGAAATCCGCGGAAAGAACCACCGACCCACGAGAAGTTACAGGCAAGCTTTCTCACATATCCACATTCACTTCTGGCGTCAGTATATTCTGAAAGAGTATGAACTGTTTGGAACGTGTCAACAATCGCAAGAACAAAGTTTTCTTTGGAAGAGTGATGTGATTGTCAGATGAGACGAGGCGAAATCAGGTGACATAATAAATTATTGTGATGGTCAGAAATTACATAATTCGGTGACGTAGACACGCCCTCTCCCTTCGCTTAGCATCCATTTACAAAGAGATGTTAAATGGTTTTCTTTATTAAACCCATTTTAGTTTGTATCATTGATCGATACGGATAAGTATTTTTTGCTATGAATTCCATTCACGCTGTACAGCTAAGTGTATTTGGAAAGCATTAAAAAAGCGGATTAGTAATAAATATAAAACTAACTGGGTCGATTGAAATAACCCATTTGATATGGTGGAATAATTGGAATCGGCCTTATTTCATTACTACGTCATTATTAAACTCGTTCTTGGAAACTGCGGTGGCTGAGTAGTTAGAATCAATAAAAGGGCTCGGATTTGAATCCTACCATCGGAACTGGGTCAGCTGACTTTGTGTGCACTTGCACATGGCATGTTAATCCAAATGGCTGAGACTAAACAAATCGTTTATCTTGTTGCACTTTAAATCGCTAAACCAAACCAAACACAACGACTAGGATTAAGGCACGTGTGCAGATTTTGTTTTTGTTTTCATTAAATGAATGACCGAAATGATTTCAAAAATTGTATGTCTAAATATGTATTGTAAATTTTTGTCAATAACGTTTGATTTAATAACTTTCTATCGGGTACTTGAGAAACCAACGACGCTTTTTACCAGTAGCTCGAATAGTGATGTGATGTGATGTGATTATGAATTTAACGCAGCTTTAACAATATTTTCAGTCATATCGCTACGATATCTGCAGTGTAGCAGTTTTACAATGATGTCTAGCACTGGGACATCATACCACAGACATGTAGCATGATGTCCCACCTAGCCAAATTATCCTGACACCAGGCCGACCAATCATAACACTAACCTCATAATGCTGAGCGCCAAGCGAAGCAGCTGTTAGTACCACTTTTGTATGTCTTTGATATGACTTGACCGGGCAACCCATGACCTCCCGCATCCGAGGCGAACGCTCTGACCACTAGGCCACCGGAGCGGTAGGCTTCGAATAGCGAAAATGTCACTCGGCTGGTAAAACAAACTACATAGCTAACATAACAACGACGTGAGAAATCCGGCACGAATGTGATGCATTAGAAAAATAAACAACACTATACAGATGTGATTGTAATAAATACACTGCTAGTGTAGCCCGTTACCAGATAATGCCTCCGTTTTACACCAGGAAACTTAAAATATCGATGCATATCTATCGCACTTGCAAAACTTTGATACAGTCGCACAACTACTTTTCCAACAATCCAGCAAACGAATAGCTTCTACCCTCTACATTAACTATAAAAAACGACAGAAAGAAAGAGACATATTGACACCTTTGAGTTATTCTGGTTGGAGTTACCAGTACAGGTGAAATAAGAAATGTTTGAATATCGATTCCTCATCAAGCAAACATTCAATCTACATAGACTAAACGGTCACTGTTGATGAGTGACCGGTTAAGAAGGAGAGAAACCACTCTTCGGTTAGGAAACATTTGTCTTTATGCCACTGAAATGTTTTAAACCAGAAGAACCGAGAAGTACCGCAATTAAAAATTTAGGACTGTTGCAACCTCAATAAAGTGTTATCTATACATCAAAGTATTCGTTTTACATTATGTTCCGCTATCGACATGTAAGTGACTATCACTATCAATCAAATATAGTAATCCACTTTTTGGACCTCATTAAAATAATAGAGTTCTTATGAATCTGAACAAACGTGAAGGGAATATTATTTTTATCAGAAATGTCTGTATTTTATCAGTTAATCTATATGTGGAAAATGATGGAGTGGTCGTAAGGAAACACCATGTGTGTCATTTTCATTCAGGTCGTCTAACCGCTAACACAATTCATAAGATTGTGTGTGTGTGTGTGTGTGTGTGTGTGTGTGTGTGCGTGTGTTTGGATTTTTAGTGTATCTTTAAACACATTTCAGACATATCGCTACGATATCTGCAGTGTGGCAGTTTATAGTGATATCTAGCACTGGGGAATCATGCCGCAGACAGGCCGCATGATGTCATGACCGACGAGTCCTAACACTAACCTCTTAATTCAGAGCGTTTAGCGAGACAGCTGTTAGTACCTTTTTTTATAAGTCTTTGTTTTGACTCGTTTTTGGTTTGAACCAGCGACCTCCCGCATTCAAGGCGAACGCTCTAACCACTAGGCCACCATAGCAGTCCATTAATAAAGCTGTCTAGATGAATATATGTAAAGCTTGTACATATACATACATACATACATACATACATACATACATACATACATACATACATACATACATACATACATACATACATACATACATACATACATACATACATACATACATACATACATACATACATACACACACACACACACATACATATATATATATATATATATATATATATATATATATATATATATATATATATATATATATATACACACACACATAAATATATACGCTTATACAGACATTCTCGCCAAAACGACTGCAGTTGATTCGATTCTAAATCATGATCAATTTCCACAAATAAGTCACTAGTGACGTATGAAAAATAATAATGAAGTGTGACAGGTTCGTTATACCCATGTATGGTTTCTATTAAATTAAGGTGGGGTGTTCCCAATATTTATTTAGATGTGGTACCCACCCAGGCTCGATTATGGTTGAGAAATTAGTGAATGTTAGAATATGGATCTGGTATATAGCTCTGAGCCTCCAGTCAGCAATACCGACAGTTAGATAATAAAAATACAAAGGGTGAAATTAAATATCAACAATTTAATTGACAATCAAATATTCAATCACTCGAACTTCACAATGCGCCTCTTTCGATCGACACATCGATTCACACCTTGTTACACATACATTCTTGTATGGTAGAACACAATATAATAACACAACATAATAACATCTTAAAAGCACGATATCAATTGCTCGTATAAATGCAACGATAGTTGATTCACATCAGTACATATTCATAATTCGATGATACTGACAATGTCATAATAAACAGACGCATATCTTTGCATCACAACTCATACAAATGTACATATATGCAAATATCTACGCTCTGACATATTCAAACATATTTTCTAATCTTGCATATATCAATCATTTAATGACTCCAATACAAATATGTGCAAACTCTACATACGCATTACTAAAGTGCTGGTTACCACGAAGTAACCTATAACGACTTATAACAATAATACTGCTAAACTAGCAATCTACATAATCCTACATAACTCAATATTAATGTCTCAAACAAGCACATAAATGAAACACTACAAAGTAATTTTACATTCCAAACAATCTCAGTAATTGGGTAAAACATAATATCAGTACTTACAGTTACGGCGCTGTAATGTTTACAAGAATCGAGTTAATATCTACCTCTGAAGCTTCCTTTCTGTGTTCCCAATTATTTTGTCCTTCGATTTACTGCCAATTTCACGAGAGGCGTTCCTGGAGTATATTTCTTACAACAGTGTCTCCTGACAGTCTCAGGTATATACTTACTTATTTAGAGCACGGCCACTAATGTTCTCCGAAACTAAAAGTTAGGCCCACCCACTAGTTGAATGCAGTTGTCCTGCCTCAATCAACTAAGCTGTCAAGGTTATGTCTGTCCACCCCGTTAATCCTGCGGGCTTCCCTTGATCTCCGACCAATGTATATAACACAAGGGTGAGAGGTACCAGGTTTTCTGGCGACTTACATAATCGCCTGACACTGCCGGTGGCAATTGTTCACACATCAAACACGCTGAACTCGCCCCACGTTTATACACCCGGTTAGCTTAGGCTTGCAGAACGCGATACCAAGTATTAATAATATCCGTATTCTAAACAAATTTAATATGGCACCCATTTTCATCACATTCCTTTCTGCATTCTGTTCTCCCCTCCCCTCTCAAGCATAACGGACAAACTGCGCAAAAATGTTGAATGAGAGACGAAAGGAATTTGGGTTGCATTAAAACCTAGAATTAAAAATTACACCAAATGACCTATTGGAATATTGTTTGCCGTAACGATACGTATGCACTTTCCTTAGGATATATCAAAAGTGTTTATAATAATACAATGTTGCAAACCAGTAAATTCCTCGGTTACGTGGTACAAATACTGTGATATATTTAATGTTAAGTTCTTTTTTGGTCTTTCTTAAACATACAATAATGTTCTAATTTATTATTATTTAAATATGAAAATGTCCACAGTGCTCTCTCTCTCTCTCTCTCTCTCTCTCTCTCTCTCTCTCTCTCTCTCTCTCTCTCTCTCTCTCTCTCTCTCTCTCTCTCTCTCTCTCTCTCTCTCTCTCTCTACCATCGTAGCAGGATACGGGCTAAAATCTATGAAATTGCGAACATATAGCATTTTCAGACAAGATCTCTAGACTTGGATGATGGTAATAGTTAAGTCAAACTAACCAAGAGATGAGAGACAGACAGTCAGATACAGACAGGGTATTAAAGTCCAACCGACGAGAGAGAGAGAGAGAGAGAGAGAGAGAGAGAGAGAGAGAGAGAGAGAGAGAGAGAGAGAGAGAGAGAGAGAGAGAGAGAGAGAGAGAGAGAGAGAGAGAGAGAGAGAGAGAGAGAGAGAGAGAGAGAGAGAGAGAGAGAGAGAGAGAGAGAGAGAGAGAGAGAGAGAGAGAGAGAGAGTATGGGTCGGTTGTACTGTTGTGCTAATCAATAAATCTTATTTGATTCCCAAAACTAATTGGGTTTTGTTTGAGATGTATTTGTATTCAGGTTATCTTTAAAACTATCGATTTGGTTCCCAAGGCGTGAGCTATAAAACCTTCATGATTACCGGGAACACGAGCAAATAATATCAGCTGGACGAATTCCGGCCAATTTTCAACTAGCATTATTTTGATATTAAAACAGTTGTCTTTTTCCCACTTTTATTTGTATAATTATAGCATAGACTCTGTCATTTGACAATATAAAAACGTTATTAGGCGTGCAATTGTTATACATCTGTAAATCAATAAATTTATCATTAATCAAGCTTTTTTCCGTTCGATGAATCGCTATTGTCAAGATATTTCAAAGAAAAGTGCTATGGTCATTCCATTCAATAAGCAACAGCATTGTTAAAAGCGATAATTGTCAAAAGCATTTAACCGATACGACTGTCATTAATCAAGTGTTCATATGGAAAACAAGTTTTTGTCCTTGATCTACTGTGATAGCTTGATGCAGATCGACTTGTATCTGTCCTAAAACCAACATGTATAAGTCCTTCTCTGAAGGACAATGAGAATGAGGGATTGATGTTATTATTTTTAATGGATTTGTATTCTTGATCATTGCTGTTAAGGCTCGAACCGACGGCCTCGGGATTTCAGATACGTCTTCTAGACCAACACTTTCCATAGATGCATGTCCGCCCCACCCTGAGATTTTATGTCTAGATATGTTTTGGTCTGCATCAGTAAAACGTAATTGCTCATCGCTACATTTTTGCCCCATGCCCCCGTAATAAATCTACGGCAACCCTAGCAACTCTCTGACTCAGTCATCGTGACAACTACTTCTCAGCCAGAAATTATCTACTGTTAGTGGATGCAGGTGCTATATTAGGTCTGTATATTTGATTTGTAATATTATAATTCAGTTATTTCTGTACTAAAAGTCAAGCAAACGCGGCTACATGATAAAGATGTGGAGTCTTAGACAAAGGAAATTCAATATAGACCAAGAGATACTTTCTATTCTGATACCTCAAACTCAATCGGAAATAAAATGTTATTATTATTTCTTTTAATTGTTATCTCCGTGCGCACAGCTGTGATTTTTCCTGTGTTACGTATATTTAATTTAATTGTTTGTCTGCTAGTTTTAATTGGTTTTTTTTTGTTTGTTTGTTTTCTTTTTAAATTTTCATTACATCTTATTATAATATAAAATTGTTTGCTGGACTTGACCTTGCCCAAAACTGAATTAATTTCTGTATGACCTGATTGACTCCTTAAATTTTGTTTTGTCCATTTATGTACTCTGCTAATAATAGCTTCATTATTATCTACGTGGTTTAACATCTAGTACTATTTATTAATCGAATTGTTATTCAGGTAAACATGTTGATTTTGATCAGGGGTTTGGAGATTCCTAAGTGAATTTTTATAAGCTAATGTATTGTGAATAAGCAAGGCTCATTTAGATCATTCTAGAAGGGTATTTTCCATTAGGTAATTGTTGTTTTTAGAAAATGCTAATTTTGACCTGAAGTCAAGCAGAGAACTATATGATCTTGTGACTGTCAGGATTTTACCAGTCGTGCTTTAACATCTAGCACTGTAAGTTTTATTATGTTGTGACTAGTTTTTATTTTCTTCAACTTATTGAATACAATTGATTATTTTCTTTGGAAATACAAAAGTGCTCTGGCAAAATTATTGGATAAACATTCATTAGAATGTATAACTAAATTCAAACCTGGAATAATATGTATGTATGTATGTATGTATGTATGTATGTATGTATGTATGTATGTATGTATGTATGTATGTATGTATGTATGTGTTTCAACAAGAGACAGTTGAAACATCAGCACTTTGCAGACCAAAACAGACACGATATTGGCTTCAATTTTGGATCTCTTCGTAACTTAAACTGATTTTTATTCAGAACCTTGTATTACTCGGTTTTGTGTCTTTAACTCTTTGAATTACAAAACGCATGACAGATGCTACGAGACTATGTTCTTAAAGTAAGTTACAGAAAAGAGTGAAGACAACAATCTTTGTAGAATTTAACAAAATTTTTTTTTCTCTAGAATACAAAGTGAAAACTGAGAAGAAAAAGATAATCCATGTTTTGATAATTGATTAATATTGATTTGGGGTATAAATACCTGAATTCTTACAAAGCAAACACCATTCTTTCTACAACTAACTATACACCCCCACCATTTGGATAGGTGTAGCATATCTAAGAATGGGAAACATGATGATTGTCTCCAGTGCTTTCCTATTTTCCATTTATTTTTAATTTTAGTTGCTACAAATGCTCCATTTAAGGAATCATTACTTTTCATCTATATTGTGTTGTAATATATATATATATATATATATATATATATATATATATATATATAAATATATATATATATATATATATATATATATATATATATATATATATATATATATATATATATATATATATATA